CTCTTTCTGGTGATGTTTCCCACTCCCCAGGAGAGCTGGACAATCGGAATCAGCAGAAAATGGAGATGAGGGTCTGGGACCCAGACAACCCCCTCACGGACCGACAGATCGACCAGTTCCTGGTGGTGGCCCGGTGAGGGTGGTGTATGGGAAGAACACTGTGGAGCTGTGGTGTGGCCAGTTCTGCGTGTCCCGGCCGCGTGTGGGTGGCGCTCTTTCCCCTCACCTTGCTCCTGTCAGCTTTTTCTTTCCTGACTTCCCAATTTTCCCCGCAGAGCTGTGGGGACCTTTGCAAGAGCCCTGGACTGCAGCAGCTCCATCCGGCAGCCCAGCCTGCACATGAGTGCAGCTGCCGCCTCCCGAGACATCACCCTGGTGAGCAGCCTCTGCGAGAGCTGGCTCTAGCGCTGTGCCGTTGGCAGCGCCTGGCACGGGAGGAATGCGTGTCCCTTGGTGCAGAGGAGGGTTCAAAGGGCCGGGCTGGTGGTGCCCAGGCTCTAGGTCCTCAGTTGCCCCCCCCCCCCCGTAGTTTCATGCTATGGACACGTTGCAGAGGAACGGATATGATCTAGCCAAAGCCATGTCCACCCTGGTGCCCCAGGGGGGCCCGGTGCTGTGTCGAGACGAGATGGAGGAGTGGTCTGCCTCTGAGGCCATGCTGTTCGAGGAGGCTCTTGAGAAGTATGGGAAAGATTTCAATGACATTCGTCAGGACTTTGTAAGTGCACGGGGCTGGAAGGGAGGCAGCAGAAGCTAGGGCTAGCTGCCACCTCACCGTTCCGCTTTCTGTACTGCTCAGCTGCCCTGGAAGTCACTTGCAAGCATAGTCCAGTTCTATTACATGTGGAAGACCACGGACCGGTATATTCAACAGGTGCGTCAGGCCAGGGGAGCTGTATCGGGGGAGCCGTGCTTGTTGTCTGTGGAATCACTGATCTTCCCATTTCTTCCTGCAGAAGAGACTGAAGGCTGCTGAAGCAGACAGCAAACTGAAGCAAGTCTACATCCCCACCTAGTGAGTCCCTGGGCAGGGGAGACTGACGCATCTTCCTTGTCTTCTCCCAACCTCTGCCCTCAGGGATTTGGGGTGGCAAGGTGCAGAATGGAATGGTGGAGGTGGGTGCAGGGAGTGCAGCTCAGGGGTAAATGTGTGCTTGGCGCACAGCACATATGAGGCCCTGGTTCAGACCCCAGCCCTGGAAGGGGAAAATTAGAGATGAGTTCTTTTCCCAAACAACACTCGGGAGGCTGAGGCAGGATCGTCACGAGTTTGAAGCCAGCCTGGACTACATAGTGAGGCTCCGTTTCCAAGAAAATAAAAACTCTTTCTTGACTGGTTCCTTGCCTCTTTTTCCATTAGCACCAAGCCCAACCCTAATCAGATCATTTCTGTGGGTTCAAAGCCTGGCATGAATGGAGCTGGATTCCAGAAGGGCCTGACCTGCGAGAGCTGCCACAGTGAGTTGCAGGGCAGGGTGGTGGGGCTGGGGTGTGGGCCCTCTGGGAGCCACTTCCTCACCAACAGACCCCGTTTCCATAGCGACACAGTCTGCCCAGTGGTATGCTTGGGGCCCACCCAACATGCAGTGCCGACTCTGCGCTTCCTGTTGGATCTACTGGAAGAAGTATGGTGGATTGAAGACCCCAACCCAGCTTGAGGGGGCTGCTCGGGGCTCCACAGTAAGGATCAGTATGGGGAGGATATAAGGGAGTTGACCCGAGCACCTCCCAGAGCCAAGCCCGTGCTCTGGGCAGGTGTGGGGGTGGCTAGAAGGTTGGGGGTCAGTGAAATCCCTAGGCAGAAACAGGTTGTTCCATACAGGGAGTGGGGGAAGAAGGGCAGCCTCAGTACCATGTTCTCTGTGACCTTCCTCCAGGAGCCACACTCAAGGGGTCATCTGTCTAGACCTGAAGCCCAGAGTCTCTCTCCCTATACGACCAGCGCCAACCGAGCTAAGCTGCTGGCCAAGAACAGGCAGACATTCCTGCTGCAGACCACAAAGCTGACCCGGCTTGCCCGGCGGATGTGCAGGGACCTGCTGCAGCCAAGAAGGGCAGCCCGGCGACCCTATGCCCCCATCAATGCCAATGCCATCAAGGCAGAGTGTAAGGGCTTGGTGGGGGCCGGGGGAGTCACAGGAGCTGTGGGCAGTCGTACCAGGCACAGCCGTTAGGAATTCTGGGTGGTGTAGCAGCTTTAAAGCTTGCTTCCTTTTCTCCAGGCTCCATCCGCCTTCCAAAGGCTGCCAAGACGCCGCTGAAGATTCACCCTCTGGTGCGGCTACCCCTGGCAACAATTGTCAAGGATCTGGGTATGGAACGGGTAGCAGATTTGGGTGGCATTAGGCTCCCAGTTCCACTTCTCTCAAGGACCTTCTTCTTGAGTCCAAGGAGATTTTAGTTCGACAAACTGCTTCTATCGTGGTTGTGGTTTTGGTTTCTTTTTCTTTCCCACTTTGTAGGCCAGACTGGCCTTGTGGTGATCCTTGTGTCTCAGCCCTGAGTACTGGGGTTACAGGGATGGGTCACTGAGCCCAGCCTTTTTTGTTTTTTGGTGGTGCTGGAGATTAAACCCAGGGCCTTTCACATCCTAGGCAAGTAAGTGCTCTACCACTGAGCTGCATTTTCAGCCCAATAGTGTTTTCTTATGGTTGTATATCGTCATACACATGAGCTTGTGAACACCGGTAATCACTTTCAGGTGCTTTCCCCATGTATTGGAAGGTGTCCAGGTACTCTTGGCTGAGGGAAAGGAGAACGAACTAGAGGTGTGAAAACTTTTTCCCCCCCGACAGTGGCTCAGGCACCTCTCAAACCAAAAACACCTCGGGGAACCAAGACACCCATCAACAGAAACCAGCTAGCTCAGAACCGGGGCCTGGGAGGCATCATGGTGAAGCGGGCCTATGAGGCGGTATGCTGGCTGGCAGAGGGGCCTGGTGGGACTGGGGAGCTTTTATTCTGACAGGAGTCTGGGGCTTTCCTCATTGTGTGCCCTTGTCCTTGCAGATGACAGGGGCAGGTGTCCCTTTCTCTGCCAACGGAAGGCCTCTGGCCTCAGGGATCCGCTCAGGCTCACAGCCAGCAGCTAAACGCCAGAAACTAAACCCTGCAGATGCACCCAATCCTGTGGTGTTCGTGGCCACAAAGGATACCAGGTAGCGTGTGCACGGGGCTGGGTGGTGGCTGACCTGCTCTGGAGTAGCAGGCTCCCTGGGAGGTCTCATGGGTTCTCTGCACCTCTTGTATTTGTCTTGCTTTCCCTGCAGGGCCTTACGGAAAGCTCTGACTCACTTGGAGATGCGGCGGGCTGCCCGGAGACCCAACCTGCCCCTGAAGGTGAAGCCAGCACTGATAACAGTGAGGACCCCAGGCCCTCTGCCCACACCCTCACATCCAGCCAGCACCAGTGAACCCATTGTCCTGGAGGACTGAGCTTTGAGGGCCTGGGAGCCGGGGAGCCAGGGAGCCAGGCTGGAGCCCAGGACCTACACCTCTCTTCTGGAGCGGAGGGACTGTGGGGGACCAGGGGGCCAGGTACCCTTGGCCTTACCACCTGGGGACTGAGTCCCCCTCCTTGCTTCTCCCTGGGTGTGGCTAGGCAGCCCATGGACCCCAAGCCACACCCAGGACTCCTTCCACACTTGTCTTGGACAGTTTCAGGGGGAGGCTTTTTTAATTTTTTAAAAAATTTTACCTCCCTTTGTGAAAGGGGACAGGGGAGGGGAAGAGTGACAGCTCTCAGGTGATGGCACCTGGTTGGGGGGGTGGGTTGTGCACAGCCATGTCTTTTTTTTCCTAATTGGGGGGAGGGGATTCTCTTCCTGTCCGGTGTCCGGACTTTGATGATTGGCATTTGAGGCCCCTGAGCTGGCATCAGCCCTGGCCCCTGCTTGCTTTCTTTTCTCCCCTTCCCCCTCTGCCTTTTGTATGCCAATTCTCAGAAATAAAGATCTTTTGTCTGTTTTTTTAACCTCGGGTTCTGTAATTGGTTCTTACAATTACAAATAAAAAGCTGCTTTTAGTCCTTCCCGGCTCAGCTGTTTTCTGCCCTGAGTGGGTGTGGGGTGTGTGTAGTGGGTGTCTGAGAGGAAGAATAGAGGGCAGACGGCAAAGAATTACACAAGGAACAGCACTGGGGGATGTATGGCTGGGAGAGATGGCCTGCTGCCTGCCCTTGCTGGCCGCCTTTTTTCCTTTTTGCTACTGGGTCTTGACCAGGACTTTCATACGGAGGACAGCCAGGCAGTTTTGGATACGCAGCTTTACTATGTGGCCCATGCTGGGCTCAAACTCATGGTCCTGCCTCGTCCTCCCAGAGTGGCGGATTGGGGGATGTGCTACTGCTGGCCCCCCAGTGCTCCCATGCGGTGGGGCCCAAGGCAGTGCAGGGAGCTGGCTGGTAGAATGGCTGGCTGCTGGCCTCTGCCTTCCTGGGGACCGGGTGCTGGCAGTGGAGTACGGTGTCAACTGTTTGGGGTGTGCGGTCCAGGTCCTACAGGTCCTTTATCCTTTTCTCCCTTGGGGAGACGCGCAGCCTGCCCTGGTCCTCGGGGGCCCTGCTGCTGCAGTCGGCTGGCCTCGACGCTCGGCCACAAGCCGTTGGCGCTTCAGGGGTGTGCGGCTTTGAGCCCCGCGCCCTCCCTCCTGCTGTAGCTTGTACCCCAGGATCTGCCCAGCTCAGCGGCGGTGAGGGCACTTGTCGCTGAAGAAGCGATCGGTTCAGCAGCGCAGAGCAAAACAGCTTAGCCAGGGGAGCCGGCCCCAACCTAGCGCTCCTCCGTAACTGCCTCATGAATAGTCATGATATTTTGGGCCAATCAACGCCGGAAAAGCTTGGAGCCCTGGGTAAGCGCAAGGTAGGCGGCGGAGCCTCATAGTCCTGCAGCGGAACCCTGAGCTCAGGGAGCTCGGTTTCCGGGGGGGTGCTCGCCACTGGGGGGCCTGCGTCACTTCCTGTGATCCTGGAAGGCACTTCCGAGAGCGTAGCGGCCTCCGGAGCGAGTTCCGGCGGAGGCGGGAGCGGTTGCGTTAGGCAGTGCTGCAGAGTCGCCATGGAAGCGGGGGATTCGGACGTCGAATCGCTGCCGCGTGGGGGTTTCCGCTGCTGTCTTTGCCAAGTTACTACAGCCAACCGTAAGCGGTGGCTAGTGAGGGTGGTTGGGGGCGTTCGAACGGCGGCTGTAGATCGCAGCCCGCCTTAGGTCCTGGCGGGGCCGGTCAGCTCCGTGCTCGCTGCACGTCGGCGGGGCCGGCAGAGCGGGGCCGTCCCGCGCGCGCGGCGCTCCCCTTTCCACCGTGCGGAGGGCCGGCGACGGAAGCTCCGTGGTTCACGCGCCCTGCAGCCTTCTCTGTGGGCCCCTGCTCCGCGCCTGATGCTTTGCTGGCCGGGAGAAGGGGTGGTTGGAGGGTGCGGTTGCCCCACTAGGTGGAGATGGGGCTGTGGCATCCGGGGAAGGCCGAGGGGGAGCCCTGCAGGGTCTCCCCAGAGGTCAGCATGGGTGAGCCGGTAGGGCAGGCAGCAGAAGGTGCCTGCGAGGAGCAGGCGGAGAATGGCGTTCGTTGGGAAGAGGACTTGGTCTTCGTTGGGCAGTAAAGGGAGCTCCTCCATGAAACCTCAGATTTCGCTTCTGAAGCCCAGAATCCTGATCTTCACTAACCAGGGTCCTCCATTTTTCCTTTTCCCTGTGAATGACACCGGCCTTGTTTCTAGACTAAGCTGGAAATCAGAAGTCTCATTGGCTCCACAAATGCTTCGGTCACCACAGGCAGCTGATAATACAAATCCTGCGAGTAGTGAAGCTGCCCTCATTTACCACAACTGCTCTCTGCCAGATGTTATAAATTTGTACTATATGGCCGGCCAGATAGCTCAGCAGATTCAAGCTCCTGCTTAGGCAGTCGCCCCCGGGGCGGGCTGAGACATGATTGAGACTGGACGTGGTGGCATGCGCGCGCCTGTAACCCTTGCGCTTGGGAGGCTGAAAACAGAAGGAACAGGAGGCTCACTGTGAGTCTGTTCTGTGTAGTGAGACCCTGTAGACCCTGTACTAAATACATTTAAAAAAAAATTGTATTAAGTGGAAAGTGTTGATTAAGCAATGTGCCAAAGGTCCCACAAAGATTGATGGTGCTGAGTTTGAATTTAGAGCAACTTCGATCCTGTGCTTGCAGTTACCATACCATAACTAAGTTGATGAATGAGAATTATCCAGGTCCTGAGTTCTCAGTATGAGCTAGATAAGTTACTGTTGATTTATTTACAGTCTGCAGTTGTTGCTCTGCTTAGCAAATACATCTATCTCCTGTGTGTGTGGAAGGGGTACTGGGGATTGAACTCATGACCTTCCACATATTGGTCGTGTCCTATCACTAAGCTATATCCCCAGATCTCTCTCTCTCTCTCTCTCTCTCTCTCTCTCTCTCTCTCTCTCTCTTTAAAATAATTTTATTGAGAAACAAATAGCAATGAGACAGTTTCAAAACCGATGAATAGGACAGTTTCAATAATTAATACATTGCATATTGTTGTCTTCGTAGTGGTTATTCATATACATCCCCAGATCTCTTAAGAAATTTTGTACTGAAGGGCCGGACAGACAGCACAGCAGACTAAAGTGCCTGCTTAGGCAGAGCACAGTGGGTCCGGTTGGATCCCTGGCGTGCTGTGCCGGCCTGCCCCTGCCACCAGGCTGGCTGAGACATGATTGAGGCTAGGTGTGGTGGCACATGCCTGTAATCCCAGCTCTTGGGAGGCTGAAAACAGAAGCACTAAGAGTCTGGTTGCATAGTGAGACACTGTAGGCCCTGTACTAAATACAAAAAAGAAAAACAAAAAGAAAAGAAATTTTGTATTGAGTCAGAGTCTAGATTCTCTAGGTTGAATTCAGAGTTTCAATTTGGCTTCAACTTGAAGCATGTGCCACCATGCCTAATGATTTACTGCATAGTGATGATTTAAGAATGACCAGCTGGGTGCCCCTTTACAATACAAGTTTTCTTTTCTCCTTGTGAATTTGTAATCCCAGCTGTTTGGGAGGCTGATGCAGGAGGATCACAGATTTGCGGCCAGCCTGGACAATTTAGTGAACTCTGTCAGAGTACAAAATAAGGCCTGGAAGGGCCAGCCAAATAGCTCAGTGGATTAAAGTGCCTGCAAGCAGGCACAGGGGCCAGGGGTTCGATCCCCAGGCCTGCTGTGCCTGGCCCCACCCCTGGGGCACACTGAGATGGCAAATGCTAGCCTGTAATCCTGGCTCTTGGGAAGCTGTAAACAGGCAAATCACTAAGAGTAGGATCTAGCAGTGAGACCCTGAACATCCTTAGACCCTTCCCTAAATACAAAAAAACCCACAAACAAACAAAAAAAAAAATAAGGCCTGGGGATGTATGTAGCTCAATGGTAGAGTGCCCCTGGGTTCAGCCCCTAGTGTGTATGTAACTGACAGTCACAGTCCATACCCATAATCCCAGCAGGATAGGCTGAGGTAGGAGAACCAGTTTGATTCAATCCCCAGTGCGTGTGCCAGCCCCACCCCCGGGGCACCCTAAAATGGGGATTGAGACTGGGCAATCCCAGCAGTTGGGAGGCAGAAAGCAGAATCACTTAATCTGATGCAGAGTGTGATTCTGTGGACCCTGTCCTAAATACAGAAAAGTAAAAGAAAGAGAAGAGCTACTTAGAGTGTGCCACTGTGGAAATGACTTAGAGCATGTTCCATAGACAAATGCGGAAGAATACCACGAGGAGAAGGAACCAGGGCTTTATTCAAAGGTCACACTTGTTATTTTTCCTGAGACGATTTCACTATTTATCTCAGGCTGGCCTTGAATTCCCTTTGAAGCCCAGGATGGCCTCAAACCTAGCAAGGTCCTGAGTTTGATCCCCACACCAAAAAACAAAAAAACTCCAACAAAGTACCTTACCGCAGTCTTCTCGCCTCAGCTTTCTAAATGCTGGATTTAGAGGTGTATGCCACCATGCCCATCTTTGTTTTGTTTTTTGAGATAGGGTCTTGTTGTGACACTCAGTTGGGAAGAATGGTTTTGAACTCACTGTGTAGTCCGCGCTGGCCTCACATTGGTGTCAGTCCTCCTACCTCAGCCTTCCAACTACTTCAAAGGTCACATTTTTGTGGTTTGGAGAATCAGTAAAATTTGAAGTATTCAGGATGGTGTAGAGTACACTGAAGCATGGCCTAGATGTTTTTGTCTTGGTCTTGTCTCTGCAGGACCCAGCTTAGATGCCCACTTGGGAGGTCGGAAGCACCAGCATCTGGTAGAACTGCGAGCTGCCAGAAAGGCCCAGGGGCTTCGGAGTGTGTTTGTTAGTGGTTTTCCCAGGGATGTGGATTCGGCAGAGCTGTCTGAATACTTCCAGGCATTTGGACCTGTGGTCAGCGTGGTCATGGACAAAGACAAGGTAGAGTGGCCCTGGGGTAAGGAGTGAATCAGGACTAGAGGGAGCAAGCAGCAGCCTGGTCTGCCTGGTTCGGAATGTGGCGTATCCTTTCTGAACACCATAGAATTTGGGATAATCCAGCTCTGTAAATTCAGTCGTCCCATGCCCCCTGGGCTTTTATCCAATCTCACAGTAATTGATGAGGGACTACTCATTTATTTCTGTATTTTTTATTTCAATTTTTAAAATGTATTTGGTTGTTACAGGGTCTCACTATGCTGCTCTGACTCATAATGATCCTTCTGTTTTCAGACTCCCCAGTGCTGGGATTACAGGTGTGCACCACCATGCCTGTGGCTCAGTGCTACAGAGCAGGGCTGGCAGGGCACACGGTGCTGAGCATCAAACCTGGTCCCTGCACTTGCCTAAGCAGGTGCTTAGTCTACTGAGATATCTCGCTGTCCTTTATTTTCTGTATTTTTATTTGCTTGCTACATGTTTATTCACTGCTACCTTCGTGTTAGATATTATTGCTGTATCCTAAGTAATGAGAGAGATAGATTCTTGCTTGCATGAAGTTTATAGGCTATAGGAAAAAAAAGACAAAGAAGAAGAGGAACAGCAGCATCATTGTGATCATACCACTGGAGGATCGCCACCTGTAAGAAGTTGCTTGGTAGCATGGTGGGTAGTTTATTGACTGCTTCACAAACTATGTGAAGGCCAGCCAGATAGCTCAGTGGATTAAAGGGCCTGCTTAGGCAGACTGAGGGACTGGGGTTTGATCACTGGCATGCCAGAGTGCGCAGAGGATTGAGACTGGGCGTGGTGCATGTCATCCCAGTGCTTGGGGGCTGAAAATGGGATCACTATGAGTCAGATCTGTGTAGTGAGACCCTGTACTAAATACATTAAAAAAGAAAAAGTGTATTTTCCTATCAGGGTATTCTGACCAACAACCTCAAATAGTTTTGTTTGTTTGTTTTTTAATGTATTTAGTACAGGGTCTACAGCATCTCATTACACAGATCTGACTCGTAGTGATCCTCCTGTTTTCAGCCTCCCAAGCACTGAGATTACAGGCACACACCACACCCAATCTCAGTTGCTGTCTCAGTGTGTCTTGGGGGCAGGGCCAGCTGGCAAGCCAGGATTGAACCCCAGTCCCTTCTCCTGCCTAAGAAGGTGCTTTAGTCCACTGAGCTCTCTGGCTGGCCCATTACACACTCGTGCTTGGTATATTTTGTTTTAAATCTTGTTTCCATATGCAACTTTTAAAAACTGTCTTTTTAGTCCCCTGAAGCAAGCTCACTTATGTGGCGCTGTCTTGCTGGATCACACTGGGCCTGAGGTTGCATGCTGGCCATTTGGGTGAGGCCCCAGGCCTTGATGAGCGCTGGCCATGCACTGTCGGCCTTGGGTTCCCTCAGGAACACCAGAGGAGGGAGCCAGCCGGCCTCAGCAGGCCAGGGCTTGTGTCGGGATGGAGTAGGGCTGGACTACTAGGGCTTCCTTTTAAAACTTTTTTTTTTTTTTAAATTTTATTTATGTGTGTGTGTGTGTGTGTGTGTGTGGCCAGCTCAGCCCACCAGGGGGCGGGGCTGGCTGGCATGTGGTGCTGGGGGATTGAACTGTGGTCCCTGGGCTTCGCTAAGCTTGTTCTAAGTAGGTGCTTTAGACCACTGAGCCGTCTCACCAGCCCTAGGGCTTCCTTTTAGTGACTGCATTCTAAGCAATTGGAATATGAAAGTCAATTTTCTTTTCTTTCTTTCTTTGTTTTTTTAATGTATTTAGTACAGGGTCTACAGGGTCTCACTACACAGATTGGACTTGTGATGATCCTCCTGTTTTCAGCCTCCTAAGCACTGAGATTATAAATGCAGGCCACCAAGCCCAGTCTCAGTTGCCTTCTCAGCCTGCCCTGGGGGTGGGACCGGCAGGGTACTTTAATCTGCTAAACCGTCTGGCAGGTCCTTCAATTTTCTTTTATTCTAAGAAGCCCAGTGCAGGTAGCCCAGGGTTCAGTCCTTTTCACCCTCACATCATTTGCATCAGTTGTTGTGGTCTGCTGTTTCCACAGCTCCAGGGAAAAGACAGGCAGGTGAAAGGCTACAAGTAAAAGGCCAATGGCTGCCAAGTCTGACTCCTTTCCTTCATCATTGATGAGGAAAACACTTCCCAGAAGGCCTCCTCTGAAAACTTTCTCTCTCATTAGCTAGAACTCTACCACATGGTTATCCCCCATTGTAGCCAAGCCTGGAAAATTAAGTTTTTTCAGCTGTGAACTTTGCCTCCCTAAACAAAACTGGGGTTCTTCTCTTTGTCTTGAAGAAAGAGAATATATATGTTGGCATCACCCAGCATCATGTGCCCCATGTTACTTCAGAAAATCTAGGGGCCAGTAAAATAAGCGCTTCCCTGGCAAGTGCAAGAGGCGGAGTTCAATCCCCGGTTCTGCCAAAAAAAAAAAAAAGAAAGAAAAAAGAAAATCCAGTGTCCCCATCTTGTCTTGTATTTATTTCATTTGCAGAGAATGATCTTTTGCTTTGTTGTATATTATTCCTCTTGGTTTTTTTGAGACAGGATCTCACTGTGTAGCTGAGGCTGGCCTTGAACTTGCTATGTAATCCAGGCTAGCCTTGAATTCTAGTTCTCTTGCCTCAACTTCCC